CCCCTATACCCCCCCTGTTGCCCCTATACGGCTCCCCTAGCCCTCTACACACACCCCATAGCCCCCTATAGCCCAGTATATACCCCTAGGCCTCCCATACACCACCTGTATCCCCTACGGACCCCTATAGCGCTCCATATACCCCCCTATAGCCCCCCCCGCATACACCCCTAGGGCACCCCCGGGTGGGAGGGGCATCCTACCGAGGCCACGCCTCCGATAGGACGCAGCCAATAGGAGCCGCCGGGGGGCGTACCCCCCCACCCGCGACGGGGCGGAGCGCCGCCGCCGCCATAAGAGCGCTACCGTCAGCCCTCCGCCGCCATTTTGCGAGATGACGATGACGATGGCGGCGGCGGCGGCGGCAACAGCGACGTGCCCGGGCCGGGGTTGGGGACAACCTGAGGGGATCCCCGGTGGGGTCACCCCTTCCCCACCCCGGCATTTCACCTTTGACCCTCCGGTAGGGCCCAGCGGCCCCCCTAGGCCCCGCCGCCGGCACCGTCGCGTTCTCTACCCGCCCGCTGTGAGTACCAGACGCCTGGGTTCCACAGGCGGGTTGGGGGCGGGCGGGGGGGGCTTCCCTGGATTCCTGGGTCCCCTCCCCGGGTTCCTGGGTCCCTTGCCCGCACGCCTGGGTCCCTTGGGGCGCGCAGGATGAGGCCCATTTCCCGGAGGTGAGGGGGAGTGAGTCACTTCCCGCTCCCCCACGCGTGACTCACCCCTACCTGGTGCCCGGGGGCGGGTGGAGGGGGAACCCAGGCATCCGGGGAAGGAGTATTTGCCCCCCCCCCCGGGGGTGGTTATTTGCCCCAAGAAGGGGTAATTACCCCAGTTACCCTTTTGGAAGCTAAGCAGGGTCGGTGGGGGATTGCGTTTGGATGGGTTCCCCCAGCCTGATCTGGGGGGGAGGGGGGGAGTATTTGCCCCCGGGGGGGTATTTGTCCCAGGTAGATCAGTTCTTACCCTATTTTGTTCTCCCCTCTCTCAGGTGCGGCGGCCGCCCCCCACAGAAGAACCGAGCGCGGCAAAGCGGCTCCTGATGCTGCTGTTGGCTGTGGTGAGTGCCCAGGTGTACAGCGCGCCCGGGGATGTGACACCCGAAGTGGCCGCGACGGCCACGGTGATACCCGAGACACCCGTGGTGAACCAAGTTGAGACACCCATGACACCTGCTGTGACATCCCTACCTGGGGATGGAGTGCTGCTCAGGACTGCTGTGACACCCATGGAGACAAACTGGACACCCAATGGGACACTGGTGGGGACACCAACAGCACCCATGGGGATACCCATGGGTGCCTCCTGCCCTCGGCTGCTGCTGTCACCTGCCCTGCGGCCCCACAGCTGCAGAGCCGGACACGCTGCCAGCTGAGCAGCACCCAGGACCTTCACCCTGGTCTCAGGGTGGCACCCAAGACTGTCACCTCGGCCTCGGGGTGGCACCCAGCACCTCGCTGAGCCCATTGCTGTGGCCTCAGGGCTGTGCCCAACACACTGGACTGGTAGCTGTGCCTGTTGTAGTGGCCACAGGGTGGCACCACACGCCCACAGGTGCCCTTCACCTCGGCCCTGTGGTTGCACCCAGTGCCCCGGGGACACATTGGGGCCCATCACCCTGGCCTTAGGGCTGTGACAGCACCCAGCACCTATGGGTGCCCCTCGCCATGCACTTGAAGAGGCATTCAGCACCCATGGGGACCCCTACCTCACCTTCGGGGCTGCCCCTAGAACCCATGGGTGCCCCTCATCCAACCTTGGGGCTGCTCACCTCATCCCCTTTCCCCCGCACGGTATTTATTTATTGTATTTGTATTTATTTTGTGGTTATTTAATTGAGGGTTATTTAACTTTATTTAATTGGGGGTTATTAAATGTGGTTTGGGGGTATTTAATAACTGATGTTATTTAATACGAGTTGCTGCTGGGTCTTCTTTGGAGCGTTGCATGGTTGTGGCCCTGGGGGGACCCCTTAACCCCCCCCCCCCCCCCCGAGCCCCTCTCCCCCTCCCCTGCTGCCTGCAACTCCTGCTGCGATGGGGGCTCTTGTCCTTGGAAGAAACGGGGAGGAAGTGCTTCCTCCTTGACATGTGAGAAAATAGGATTTTCCATGTTTTCTGCCCTATTTTCTAGGCTGGGGGGTGGGGGGAGATGCTGCATTCACCATTTGGGGGGTTGTCTGTGGTGCTGGGAATTAAGGGAAAACCCATTTCAGGCAGAAAAACATCACTTTTCATCACGAGTCGGCTGCAGGACGCGTGTAGGCGCCCAGCTCTTGTTTATTGAACCGACTCGTAGGCGACGCGGGAATACAAAGTCACAAAAGTAACAAAACAAAAAAATTTTTTTTTTTTAAAAAGCTGAAAACAGCTTGATTTTGCTCCCATTTCAGGGGGACACACTGGGGGGATCAGGCAAACCCCACAGTTGACTCTGCTCCATCCATGATAATAAAGTCTTTCCTTTGAAACGCGTGTTTGGCAGTGCTGGTGACCCAAATCTGTTTTTTCCCCCCATAATGGCACTTGGGGAGCATCATCACTGCCCAGCTGTGCCAAAAAACCATGAACAACACACAACAGCAGTAAAAAAAACAGAAAGAGCAATTTTGCCCATCGATCCCAGATGGGGCTCTTCCCCTACCCACCCCCCAAAATAATTGCCCCAAAAAGCAAAACCCAGCAGAAAAAGGGAAAAAAAACCCAAACCCCTTTTTCTGCTTCAGTTTTTACCAGCTCCCACCTAGGACAAATTTGGTAAATTTTGGGTTGCACTTGGTGGTGCTTTAAAACACAGCAGGAGAAGGAAAGGGTGGGAAAACATCGTTAAAAATCACCCTAATTAGGTGGAGAATTGATTTTATTCACTTCCCTCTACCCCAAAATCTAAGGGGCAGGGGTGGGCACTGTCCCCCCTCTGCCATGGGGACACTGACTTGGGAAAAGTTTGCATCTTCCTGCTGTGAAAAGGTAGTAATTTGGTTAAAAGGATTAAAAAGTTAGGGGGGAGTCCCCCATCCCCTAATTAGATCATTAATTAGTCACCAAGGCTGAATGGCTCTGGGCAGGAAGAAGCCCAGCCCACCCCCCCCAACTATGGGTCTTTGAGGTCAACCAAGGATGGGTGTTGGCTGAGCAGCTGGGGAGGGTGGGAGAAGGATGGAGCCATGGCATAAAGGGGACTTCCCCATCCCCTAATTAGTGAGATCATTAATTAGCCACCAAGGCTGAACACCTCCGGGCAAGAACAAGCTCCTCAACAAGGGGTCTTGGAGGCCAACTCTGCTTGGGTGTTGGGCAAGCAGCTGGGGAGGTAGGGAGGAGGATGGAGCTGGGACTGTGGTCGGGGTTGGAGGAGCTGCCTCATCCCCTAATTAGAGAGGTCATTAATTAGCCACCAAAACTGAACAGCTCCAGGTGGGAACAAGCCCTCCCAACAATGGGTCTTTGAGGCCAACACCGGTTGGGTGTTGGGCGAGTGTCTGGGGAGGTTGGGAGGAGGATGGAGCTGCGGCCAGGGCCGGGCACCACTCAGTTGATGAGGGAGGAGGTCTGGGCCCCCGAGGCGGGGGCCGAGGGGAAGGAGGGGTGGGGGAAGGCGCGGGCAGGGAAGGAGAGGGCCCACGGCAGGTCCAGGGTAGGGCTGGAGAGGGAAGGGATGGGCAGGGGCGAGGGGGAGGCAGGGAAGGAGGGCAGGGAGGGGATGGGGGCTGCCGAACCGCCCAACGGCGGGGAGAAGGCGGTGCTGGAGAAGGCGCCAGAGGGGTTGGCAGCAGCGGTGGCGGCAGCAGCGGTGGCTTTGGGCTTGTCCCCAGCGTGGGTGCGTTGGTGGCGGTTGAGGTGGGAGCTACGGCTGAAGCACTTGCCGCACTCGGGACACTTGTAGGGCTTCTCGCCGGTGTGGACGCGCTGGTGGATGGTGAGCTCGGACCGTTGGATGAAGCTCTTGCCGCATTCGGGGCATTGGTAGGGCTTCTCGCCGAGGTGGGTACGTTGATGGGTGATGAGGTTGGAGGAGACGCTGAAGCATTTACCGCACTCACTGCAACGGTAAGGTTTCTCCCCGGTGTGCATCCGGCGATGGATGGTCAGGTCCGACTTCTGGATGAAACCCTTTCCGCAATCCCCGCAGGCGTAGGGTTTCTCTCCGGTATGGATACGCCGGTGTTTAACCAGCGCCGAACGTTGCCCAAAACCCTTTCCACATTCCCCACACTTGTAGGGTTTCTCCGGTGGTACTGCCGGTGCCGTTTCACCGTCAGCGGTATCCGATTCCCTCCCGCAATCCATACATTGCTGACTGCGGGGACGTAACCCTACTGTGCCACCCCGGTTCTTCCCGCAATCTGGGCACTTGGGGGGCTGCCCCACAGTTCCTCCGGCACTGTGGGCACGTTGATGCTTGAGCAAGGCAGCGCCTTGACTGAAACATCGCCCGCACTGGGCGCATTGGAAGAGGCGACCGTGACGATGAGCAGCCAAGAAGCCAGCTAGATGTTCAGGGCAACGGTAGGATGCCTGTTCGGCTGCGTGGATCTTCTGGTGCCGGTCGAGGTGGGAGCTGACGCTGAAGCTTTTACCGCATTCGGCACAGGTATAGGGTCGTTCGCCGGTGTGTACCCGTTGATGCCGTTCCAGGTCGGAGCGTTGGATGAAACCTTTGCCGCAATCGCCGCAAGCAAATGGCCGTTCACCAGTATGGATGCGCCGGTGTTGGGTAAGGTTGGAGCCTCGGCTGAAGCTCTTACCACAATCGCCGCAGCGGTGAGGTCGTTCGCCGCTGTGGGTCTTACGGTGTTTGGCCAAAGCAGAGCGTTGGGCAAAGATCTTACCGCATTCAGGGCAGCGGTGAGGAGCCAGTGACCCCTCTGGCGGAGGCGGTCGAGGACGGGTGCGGGGTTGGGCAGGTGGACCGGGTCCACCAGCGTGGGTACGGCGATGCCGGTCGAGGTGGGAGCTGACGCTGAACCGTTTGCCACAGTCGCCGCAAGGATATGGCCGTTCACCGGTGTGAACCCGCCGGTGCCGCTCCAGGTCAGAGCGTTGGATGAAGCCTTTGCCACAATCACCGCAACGGTGAGGCCGTTCACCAGTGTGGATACGCCGGTGCTGGGCAAGGTTGGACCCTCGGCTGAAGCCTTTGCCACAGTCACCGCACCGGTGTGGCTTCTCCCCACCGCGCTCTGGCTGCCGGGCCGATTGCCGACATCGCCGCCCGCACTCAGTGCACCGCCGCGGCTTTACCGGACTCTGTGACCGGTTCCGCATCCCGCATTCAGCACAACCACCCCGGGATGCCAGCGATGCTGCGCTGCCCTTCTTGCCCCCATTCCCTTTACCAGCGGCGGGGGCTTCACCCGCCTGTCCCCCGCTTTGGTGCTGATCGGCATCCTCCAGCACCGTCTCCTTGCCGTCCCGCAGTGCTGAATCCTCCTCTGTCCCGCTCCCGGCGCCAGTGCCTGCACCACGGTGAGAAATGGTGAGCATGGTGAGAAACCATGAGTCCCTCCAGCGCAACACCCCCCAAAATTAATTTCAAGCCCCCCAACATGGAAAACATGTCATCTATCTGGAGTTCTGTAAGACATTTGACATGGTCCCCCACAACATCCTTCTCTCTAAGTTGGAGAGAGATGGAGTTGAGGGATGGACCATTTGATGGAGCAGGAATTGGGTGGATGGTGGCATCCAAAGAGTTGTGGTCAATGGCTTCATTGTCCAGATGGAGACCAGTGACGAGTGGCGTCCCTCAGGGGTCCTTACTGGGACCAGTACTGTCCCCTATCTTCATCAATGACACATGCCACCATCATCCCTTTGATGTGGTCCTCCACAACGTCCTCCTCTCCCAGTTGGATGGAGTTGAGGGATGGTGGAGCAGGAATTGGGTGGATGTTGTCATCCAAAGAGTCGTGGTCAACGGTTCCATGTCTGGATGGAGACCGGTGACGAGCGGCATCCCTCAGGGGTCCTTACTGGGACAATCACTGTCCCCATATCTTCATCAATGACATAGAGGTGACCCCAAGCTGAGTGGGGTGGTTGCTACTCCAGAGGGATGGGATCCATCCAGAGGGACCTGAACAGGCCGGAGGTTCAACCAGCCCAAGGGCAAGGTCCTGCCCCTGGGTTGGGGCAACCCCAAACATGGACGCAGGCTGGGGGATGAAGGGATGGAGAGCGGAGAAGGACTCGGGGGCTGAAGGGATGGAGAGCAGAGAAGGACTCGGGGGATGAAGAAGCAGATGCTCGCAGCCCAGAAAGCCAACCGTCTCCTGGGCCGCATCGGAAGAAGCGTGGCCAGCAGGTCGAGGGAGGGGATTCTGCCCCTCTGCTGCGGTGGGAGCCCACCCGGAGCACTGCACCCGGGGGTCCTTGGGACGAGAAGGACACGGACCTGTTGGAGTGGGTCCGGAGGAGGCCCCGGAGATGATCCGAGGGCTGGGACACCTCTGCTATGAGGCCGGGCTGAGAGAGTTGGAGAAGAGAAGGCTCTGGGGAGACCTCGTGGTGGCCTTTCAGTCCTTCTGGGGACAGGGCTTTTAGTAAGGGCTGTCACGATAGGATGAGGCAGGGATGGGTTTTAAGCTAAAAGAAGGTAGATTCAGACTAGATCTACGGAAGAAATTCTTGGTGAATTTCTTGGTGAGGGTGGTGAGACGCTGGCAGAGGTTGCCCAAAGAGGTTGGAGATGCCCCATCCCTGGAGACATTCAAGGCCGGGTTGGCCGTGGCTCTGAGCACCCTGATCTGGTTGGAGATGTCCCTGCTGGTGGAGGAGGTCACCTTCAAAGGTCCCTTCCAACCCAAATCATTCCATGATTCTATGAAAAACCATCCCCCAAAGCACCGATACCCCCAAACCTGCCCCCACCCCAGTTCCCAAGGGGTGGTCCCCAAAATGGGAAGGTCTTGTGGGGTTCCCCCCCAAATTTACCTCCATCCTTGGGTGTTTTCTTGCGGCTCCGGCGCTTCCCCCCCTGCCCCTGCTCCCGCACCAGCTCCCGCAGCATCTTCTCCACCTGGCTCCTGCCGGCCGTTTGCAGGATCAGGCCCAACTGGCGACGTAAATCGGGGTTCACCCCCCCATCGCTGGAACCGGCCCCCGTAGAGGGTTGGATCTGGGTGGGCTCTGGTTGACCCTGCTCGCCCTCTGCTTCTACGCCTGGAAAAATGACTGTTAGACCCCCAAAAACCTGAGGAATTCACCCAAATTTAGGTGTCCCCAAAACCTAAGGGATTCACTCAAATTTGGGTGTCCCCCAAAACATAAGGGATTCATTCAAATTTGGGGAATCCCCAAAACCTAGGGAATACACCCACTTTTGGGGGTCCCCATAAACTTAAGTAATTCACCCAAATATGAGGAGTCCCCCAAAACCTAAGGAGTTCACCCAAATTTGGAGAGTTCCCAAAACCTAAAGAATTCACTCAAATTTGGGGGGGGTCCCAAAAAACCCTAAGGAATTCACCCAGTTTTGGGGATCCCTCAAAACCCAAGGGATTCACCCAGTTTTGGGGATCCCTCAAAACCCAAGGGATTCACCCAAATTTGGGGGGGGTCTCCAAAAACCTAAGGAATTCACCGAACTTTGGAGGTCCCTAAAAACCCCAGGAATTCACCCAAAATTTGGGGGATCCCCCCTGAACCCCAAGACTTACCCGACACCAGCCCCCGCCTCCGGTGGGATTCGGCGAAGGCGGTGATGCGCGGCCAACTGATGGCGATCTCCTCCGCTGCCGGGAAGAAGGTTGGTCTCCTCAGGCGCCCAGACACCCCGGTGATGGGCTCCATCCCCCCTCATTTCCCCCCACCCCCCCACCCAGCAAGAAGCCCTCTATTTTGGGGTGAAATGCTCCATGTTTGGGCAAAATGTGCTTCCACCAGCTGCAATTCACCACGGTGAGGGAAACTGAGGCAGCATGGGGTACCCAGCCCCCTGAAAACCCACCCTGAGTCCATGGGATGCTCGTGGCCCCCCCACATCATGGCAGTGTGCCGGGGCAGCGGAGTCCCCAACCTACACATGAGGTGACAATGGTGCTGGGGACCCCCAAAACGACACCCCCCACCCCCAAAACTGGGACATCCCAGGGTCCCTCCATGCCCCTTACCCAAGGAAATCACATTCTCGTAGTTCTCCTGCATGGTGGCCCCGAAAAATGGGGGGACAGGGGGTCCCGGGTGGGACAGGGGGGTGTCCCAGGTGGGTGGCGTCACCCCACAACCAAAAGTCCAGTCCCTGCAACAGCAAGAGACCCCACCCCCTCCTTGTTAGCACCCCAATACCCCCCAACCCCCTTTTCTGTAGGGGGGGGCTGTGGGGAAGGAAGGGGGGGGCTATGTGTGTCTCCCCCCTTGCTCCCCAAATTTTCCAGGGCTGTGCACCCCGATCCCCAGGGTATCCGGAGCTGTGTGCCCTGTGCTAAAGTGTGCCCACTTTTTTGGGGTACCCGGGGGGGGGCTTCCCTGCTCTTTGGGGTCCTCAGCAGCTGTTCACCCACTTTTTGGGGTGCCCAGGGGATGATACCTGCTCTTTGGGGTGCCCAGGGGCTGCACCTCCACTTTTTGGGGTGCCCAGGGGATGATACCTGCTCTTTGGGTTGCCCAGGGGCTTCACCCCCACTTTTTGGGGTGCCCAGGGGATGATACCCACTCTTTGGGGTGCTCAGGAGCTGCACCCCCAGTTTTTGGGGTGCCCAGGGGATGATACCTGCTCTTTGGGATGCCCAGGGGCTGCACCCCCAGTTTTTGGGGTGCCCATGCCCACCCACCGCTGCACCC